ATGTAATGTTACATTGATAATGTAATTGATGATCAACAAATATTTTCGATAATCCGTAGGATTTAAAATTAAAATTTAATATTAATTTAGACTATGAAGCTTGTACTATACTTATGCTAATTTCATTATAGATTTTGAAAACTAATTAATCTTATGTTGGAAGTTTCTCTGACAAAGGTATTTTGTATGTACTTTTATTCTTAATTGATATCTTATATTATGGTTTTTCTCAATTTTGACTAAGATCGATCCGAGTATCTTTTAAGCATTTCCAAATAAAATATAAGTTGCAAATTATATATATATATATATATATATATTTATTTTTTCTTCAGTATTTTAATGACTCGTGTCAGCTTTATCGTTGTAAATCAGTAAAATTTATATTACGAAAACAGGCCAATGAACTTATAGTTAATTTGCTAAATGCTGACAAATTCTAATGACGTATTTATGATTAAATATATTAGATGAAACTCACCGATTTATAATTTATTGATCAAAGATTGGTTATATTACATTCTAATAAAGAATAGTCGAAACTATCATAATTATTCCAAATAAAGTTCAATTACTTTTTTACAGAATTGAGTGATATCTAATATATATATATATATATATATATTATTATTAATAAATGTATAGATTTTTTCATTACGTTTTGTTTTTAATCCCTTATTTTATTAATTTTTTTAAACTGTTTGATCACCGGTTGCCGACACAACTATTAACGAATGAATATTTTTTTAATTCCAGTCAATCCAAGTACACGAAGCAATGATAAATCATGTAGAAGAGCACTTTGCGATGTGAAGTGATATAGAATAAAACTATTATATTTATATATATATATATATATATATGTATATAATAAGGGAACAAATTTCTGGCAAATCCATTGTGCTTTGCAACGAAGTTGGTTTTCTTTTAAAACTGAATAGTAACATTTGTCTTTTCATTGGAGTAATGGTAATGGTTGACTGTGCATTCTTTGTTTTAATCAAGAAGTAAATTGCTTTTACATCTTTTTTTTTCACGTGAATCAGAGTGAGAACAGATTATGAAAGTGCAGGACTGTTATTTCATATTTTATATATTTGCCAAGTACGTCTCGTCGTTTTTACTTTTCAGTTGTCACATATATATATATATATATATATATATATATATATATATGTTTTAGATTAAATTATTAACATTTCTATTTAAATGCTCATAAAATTTGATTTGCAATTAGTATGAAATTACGTACAAAAATTTGGTGGATAAGATGAAAAGTAAATTGTTAAAGACAGGCATAAGTACACGTATTTACATTGACTTTGTTTTGAGATTTTATGGTCAGGCTTGTTTTTTTTTTTTTTTTTTTTTTTTTTATTATTGAAATGCTTGAATTTCTACCAAAAGTATGTGAAAAAAAAATGTATTATAAAGCATGAAAATTCAAAAGTAATGGTAAAATCAAAGGTATTTGAAGGATAAAAGTACTTGTTAATTCTCATTATTATCGAGTTAACATACAAGTCACAAGTTATTATTTTGTAAAATAGTAATGATATTATCATGAGCTGCCGCAGACAGCGCTAAATTTTATTATCGGTAAAATTCTGGCTGGGTAGAGCGGATTAGTAAAGCGGACACACTGCTGGGGCCTCGTCCTTATGAAACAAATCTGAAAACACGAATCTAGAATATGAAATCCTCGTGAGCTCGGAGGCAATCGTGCAGACAACGGGCAGAGCCTCAAATACGTAAAAACCAGGTGAAAAAAAGTTTTTTTTTTTTTTATCGCAGGCTCGCGCTCTTTAACAATGGGAGCCGACGAAAAAAGGGCGAAGTAAGGACGCGAGAATAATCGGCGGGAGAGTGGAGCGAACCCGGCCATGGACAAAAAGGGCAAATTGCTTCGTTAGGTAACCGTTAGAGCGGGAGAGGCGCAGAGGTCGGGGGCTGTCCTCCCGCGTTGGGGAGGACGTGGTACTCTCCGACGGCACGAACCTCTCCGCCTGGAACGATTCGCCTCGGGCCGCTCGGGTCTGAGCGCACGTGCGCCCGGGACTTGGGGGCGGCGCAAGGTCCCGATCATCCCGGTGGCTGTGTGCGCACGCGCACGCGCTCGAAAAAACCGGCTCTCTTCGCGCGAGTTAATGAACTCGGGCCCGTTTTTGCCGGGGGTGGCGTGCATTGGGTTCGCGCTGGGATGGCCGCGTTTTTTGCCAGGGCGAGAGTTTGCGCAGGTACGAGAGGAAGCTTACAGTCGTGCGCGCCGAGGATTCGTCACGCCTTGGCCTTCTCTTGCTGAAAATTGATCCTTTCGAGATCGTCTTACAAAGTTAGTTTCTTCTGGGAAGATTTGAAGTGCGCTCTCGCGATTCTCGGAATTAACATATTTCGTAGCGATGCACTTCGTTTAATTTTATTGTTTCAGCGCTTGAGGCTCGGTTTACTACTTACTTTTTCGAAAGATCGTTAATATTCATTAGAGTCTTCTACATTTCTTTGGGATATTAAGAAGTACAGATGAAACGTTTCTCATAAATTATGTATTCGGGGAACCGACCAATATTACATCAATTTAATCAACGCCAAGCTTTTGTGCATGAAAGCTTCGGTGCTCCGTTTTTTATATTACCTATTACCTTGAATTTTCATACTTTTAAATTTAACACTTAAAGAATACTTTATGTTTTTTTTTTATTTTATTATAATTATTCATAAATTATGAAGTTCGTTATTAAGGTCACACTGATTAAATTATATTTTTTTTAATAACCGTATTTTGCTGATATTATGGTTGATACGATTTTCTATGTAATCGATTAAATATTTGAAAAAAAAAAAATTTCCAATACTAATTATTGCTAATTAACGGGGTTTCTTTATAATACATAAAAATTCATGACACATTTATGAGAATTTTCTTTGTTAATATGATTATAATATGATGTAACTAGCATGACAGTTTTTTTTTTTTTTTTTTTTTTTTTTTAGATATTACTGAAATATTAGCCATATTGTTATAAATATATTAAATCAAATGAGAGAGAATCTTATGGCTAATATAGTTAAACATCGTTATTTTGTTAAAAAAACTTTTTAATATACCATACCTATAATATCAGCCTGAATGTTGTTAATTTATTATGAATATTGTTATTTCATTAAATGAAAAAGTCTTCTTGGTTTTTTTTTTGTTTTATAAAATCGCTTAAATTTTCAATGAAGAATTATGTTTAAATAACGATTATTCAATGGCCTTATTTCATTGAGCCATTTGGATATTCGCAATCTCTGCAAATCGTGTAAACTCGAAAGAATTACACGAGCAATTCAATGGTTGACTTTTTAACGGGATATGTGTATTTTAACGCTGCTGGAATGACGAGATACGTGCGAATTTCAAGAAGAAGGAGTTTCTTTGGGAATATAAAGGGGAGAGAGAGAGAGAGAGAGAGAGAGAGAGAGAGAGAGAGAGAGAGGCGCCACTGGAATTTCCACGCCCCTGAAGACTAACAATATATAGGAATATATATCGGATGTGTAATGTTGATTACCGATCACGCGCGATGCGACAAGTTGGAATTGTTACCGCGTGCAGAATTTGCGATCAATGATTATGTTTCGCCTTCTCTTACGTGTGTTTGAGCAACTCGAGGATTGATTAACATTTTCTATAAAGCCGATGACTTCTTTTTCTTCATCCTCATATAAATAAGTCGATTTTGCCCTCTTTCGTTGCTATAACGATTTTTACCTACATTGCGAGACATTCATTATTACTTTGGCCTTAGTCATTGCAGTAATAGCAACATGATTTTTCGTTTCATGCATCTTATTGTTGCAACGCAATTGCAATTTGCTTATTATTTAAAATTAGCGTATTTATGTCATTTTCATTATTATAATGACATTTATTCTAAAAGCGTATAATTTATCCTAACTAAACATAGAAAATAATATGGAGATTTTTCGAATGCACTTTGGGATTTCAGTTAAGAGTGAAGTTTAATACATAAATTTTTGCCATTTGCCTTATTATGTCAATAATATAATATTGAATATGCTCATAAGATTTATGAAATATATATTCATATATTGACATTGTCTATCGTTGTGGAAAATTTCAGAATATTTTGATTTTGATACAAAATGGTAATAATGCATCCTAAATTAGAGATATAAAACATCAACAGTAATGCGAGAGTCACTTTAATCGAATTTAATCGAGCGATTAAATTTGGCGAATGGAATGATACTAATTCAGCATAATAAATCGAAGGTGCTTTAGAATTGTGATTCGATCGAGCGATTAATCGGGCCGAGACAGTTTCTAAATTACAAGATTATCCTCCTTCATTATCATTCAACTCCCTTATCCTTGCCAAACAAAGGTGCTCCAAATGTTTCCAATATCGCGCGATTTTATATTTTTTAGTGGCTTATCGACTTGCAGGACTTAAATGTCGCACAGATCGCAACACTCTCGGACTCTCGGAAAAATTTCATTCCCGGCGATAAATTCCGCAGGACGAGGAAATAATGGTACGAAAATACCGGCTTATCTAACAAGGAATTAAATGATTCGAATTAGCACTTTCAAGTTAATGTGATAATTAATGTGATGTATCGCTCTTACATCCCTACGAGTGACGACGATTTTCGCACGGCGAACCATTGGCTCGAACGCGTGGAAAGGATAAGCCAATAAACTTTTGTAAGTCCCAGTAAACTCGCGGTGATTCCCAAGACAGGCCCAAGAGCCCCTCGACGGCAAGTCACTTGTTGGAGCTTAAGCTCCCGCGTCGACCGCACTACGGGTAGAAACGTCTCTGCCCTCCAAACTGACGCGCACGCAAATCCTGCGGAGTCTTTCGCACTTGGTACACACTTGGTACACACTGTGTCGTATCACCCGGGTCTCGTCCCGGCTCTCATCCGCCGTCGCTGGACCCGATCGCTTCGTCAGCCGGAGCGGCCGCTACGGTCGCCCCCGGACTTACCTTATTTTATGAGCCTTGGCTGGTGGGTGGGAGGGGGTTGATATCGGCGCTGCACCACGCGGGTCCTTTCTCCTCCCAAGCACTGTCGGCGGATGAATCTCCCGGGTATCTCAGCGATAAGTCGCGGCCTCCAGCGCCTGTCGTTCAGTGAGGACCTCTTAGCGCGAAGAGATGGAGACCGTAGATCGGGAGGATGGCGGAGGAAGATGGGCGAGTCGCAACGAGGCGGAAGCCGCTGGTCGCGCACTTGTTCAGCCTCTTGGACCTTGGTCCTTGCTATCCTCCTGCCTGCCTTCCTGCCTGCGTACTCGCCTGCCTACGTGCGTGCCTCCGTGCGTGTGCCTCCGTTCGTGCCTCCGTGCGTGCGTCCGTGCGTTTGTGCGTGCGTGCGTGCGTGCGTGCGTGCGTGCGTGCGTGCGTACGTGCGTACGTGCGTGCTTGCGTGCGTGATTGTGTGCGTGATTGCGTGAGTCGGTCTTGTGCGTGGCGTGTGTGCGGGACACACGCGTCGTTTTCGCGGCGCGTCTCCTCTTCCCAGCCTTTTCTCACGCCGGCGCGCCGTATTCAAGTGAACTACTCGTGCGCCGCTGGGCCACGGTACCTTAAATACCTTGCGCTCGTGCGCGGCTGCGGCTTGGCGGCTCGGCCCCTCTACCGTCGCCTTGCTTCCAGCGCCGGCCGCCCAGCGCTCCTCGCATTGGCGGGGGAGAGACGGAAAAGGAAGATGATGCCCCCCGGCTGCGATATGTATCCGTTCTCTCTTTCTCGCTCCCAGGGCGCCCGGCGAGCGAAGGGGGGAACCGCGACGGTGAGCGTCGCGACGTCGAGGAGATGTTGGAGGACGGGGCCAAAGGATGAGAGGATAAGCGGGCGAGAGAGGATTCGCGCCGCGGTCAGAGGGAGGACGAGGAAGCGAGCGCATGCGCCGACGCAAGTGGTAGCAACTCATAGTCGGTGTTGCCTCGGAATCGCGAAAGCATTGCCGAGAAGAGTCTCGGAGCGAACGCGTCGATGCGATTCCACTGCATATTTCTATACCTGTCTCTCTACGTCTCTTTCTCTCTCTCTCTCTCTCTCCCTCTGTCCCTCTGTCCCTCTCTTCTTCTCTCCCACCCTCTCTACCTCTCTATCCCTTTCTCCCAGTCTGTCTCTTTGGTCACTCTCGTCTATCTTCCATCTCGGGTATGGATGGACCCGTAGGGGAATGTGACTGGGGCTACTCGGTCTCTTCTTTTTTTTTTCGCGATAAATGGCTTTATTACAATGGACAGCCTTCCATTTACGCCAATGAATCTTCCAAACGTGGCTAATATAGTTAATGCATCGGCTCACCCTCGCGTTTCCATAGGCTTTAAATAAATATCCCATGACATAGTTACTTTTTCCTTATAAAAATTTTTAAAAATTTTTGGAAAAGGTGGTGTCCTTGATGACTTACGTTAATCTGGAAATGAGATTTTCACGATAATACAAATGTAAACACTATTCTCATTATTAATTTGATTTTGAATTTCATAATACATTCTTTTAAACAGATTAGAATGAAAGAATCTTTACGCGAACGAGACATTAGAAGCCATAGAAATCATCGAGTGAAGCTACATTATTATAGATTATGATTAATAAGATCTCATCTACCACTTTGTCGAATATTATTCCGTTAAACACAGATGATACTTATGCATATATATATATATATATATATATATATATATATATATCGTCAATATTTTTTAATGATATTTTCATCTCTTGATTTACAATCATTACCTTTATAGAAACAAATATAAAGCTCGTGTGCATGTCTGTGGGCGCGCGTGCATATGGGTGATTTGATTATTAAGTAAATATGTTTAAATATATAGAATCAGAATAATACGAATATATCTAAAGACACCACGAAACGAATAAATACTGAAATATTAATTTGTTCGATTGTTGATAATTTGTGTAAAATACTATCTCTTTATAATGCGAAACATGTATACCTGTGAAATTTCATTACAAATAGAAAATTCATTTTTCTTCTATTGATTTCTCAAAATATAATCAATAAAAAATTAAATTAATACAGTCCTTAAAATATTTCATTAGTTCTAGACGATATATATATATATATATATATATATATATATATATATATATCCTATATTTGTCTTATAATTTTAAGAAATTTCAAGAAAATTTACCTACAATTAATTGTAAATAATATAATTGAATTAAAAAATGTAAGAAATAATTATAATTTCAGACGATATTATAAAGATTACCTATATTGATTGAAATTAATTCGCATATGAGTCCTTTATTGTCATCGGTTATTTCCAACATTTCATAAAAAATCCAATGAATATGAAAGACGTCACGTCACGTAAGTTTCGTATAAAAATCTTGAAATCGCAAAGCGGGTGGGTTTTACCGATTGCGTTATGTATGAATATCCTTGTCGAAAGAATAAGGTCAGAACGATATTACGAAAGATCAAAACTCTTTAATTATACGATACAAAATCTAAAACAAAAGTTTTTTCTTTAAAAACAGATTGACGATAAAAAATGAATTTTATAGATGATGAATTATTTGAATGATTTAATAAGTTTTAATTTTTCAATCGTCATAGACAGTTTTATATTATCCTGTCATTTCACAATAATATTACTTATTGTTTTTATTATTATAGTTCTTTCATTTAAATACACATTTATTAAAAAATATCTAATAATGGTTGCTTTTGAATGAATTTATTTTTAGTTATTGATTAGCTATTATCAATGATAGAATGAAATAAGAAAACACTAATGATATGATACAATAATACGAATAATACAATATATATTCAGAGCAATTGCTTACAACAAGATTAACTTTATATAAAAAAGAAATGGAGCTTTTACCAAGTAAATCCGATAATTTTGCACAAATATCAAAGATTGTTTGTTGTCTTTGAAAATGGACGTCTTACTACACACATCACTTTCTACTTAATGTACACACACTTGTATGTTCTTTTATTGCGACACTCTCAATTATAGTCTAAAATCCATTTTTATTTTCAATTTCTTTTATCAAACAGTGAAAACACTATATTTTCATTCGTGAAATTTTCCAATCTCGTAATCACATATTACATGTGCAATTACTCGATATTCATAAAAATATTTAATATGAAGAAAAACACAATTTAATACTATTATAATTAGTAAAAATCTATTATAACTATATATTGAAAGAAAATTTCATTTTATTCTGTAAATTTAAATTTAAATATGTATATAAACAGCCGCGCACGCGCTCTCACGATACCCATAAACACATACCCACCACACACACACGTATACACGCTGCACGAGCTATACAGAAAGTTAATGCTAAAGTAATGAAGGAAATGGCAGTTCATGCCATTAATCATGAAAATTATAAAAAATAAAACATTGAATTGATAAAATAATATAAATAAATATTAATACTTTATATAAAATTATTGATAATTTCTGAATTATAGTAATAGGTAAAATTATTGAATTGTATTAGAGTTTAAAGAGAGTATATGTATAATTACATTGATATTTATGTTCGTTTTTCATTTCTTTTCTTTTTTTATTATCTTGGCTAGTAAGCTGTGTTTGTCTAATACTTCATCATTTTTCTTTTTATTTACAGTACTAAATACAGTCACACAGGGACGGCTGTTCGGTACAGAAACGGAAATCGTTTATTGAAAAAACAATCAATTTTGAAAATATGTTTTTCTGTTGGTCGATGGTTCATTTGTACAATAAACCGCTGTTACTGCCATCTCTCGCACTTTTGGGGTGAGTCACACGCACTCACATATGTCAAGCGCAGCATCTCTCGCTCGATTGGTAGTAACGCAGAATCGATACTCGACCGGTGAAAGCAAGACAAACTTATAGAGAGACCCGAGTC